ATGTGCACGGTTGTTTTACCTATATATAAATATAGATATAGATATAGATATATAGATATGTACCATGTGGTTACAGTGCCCACAGATGCCAGAAGATGGCATAAGATCTCCTGGGACTAGAGTTACAGATGGTTGTTACCATTAGGTGCTGGGAATTAAATCCCAAGCCTCTGGAACAGCAGCCAGTGCTCTTAACTGCTGAATCATCTCTCCAACCTACCACATTTTGTTTTGTTTTGTTTTCCTATAACTCACTGGGAGACATGGAATATTCTATAATAATGTAGGTTCCTTTTCCTGATACTGGTGACAGCATTTGAGACTTTCTTAAAGGTTCTATAACTCGGGTGCGATGGCATGGCTTAAGATAATCACTAAAAAAATGGATGCAACTTCTCTATGAACTTAAGAGTCCTTGCTGTGATTAGCATGTGTATGGCCCTAGCTATCACTTACCATATGAGTGGAGAAGACCAGGTTTACACTAAAAGGAAAGTATTTGTGCAGAGAGGAAAAGTATATAAGAATAGTAGAAACACCTTAAAATGTAGAGAGCGCTTGAACTTGCTGAGCTGACGACAAAAAGTTGTTGCTTTCAAGAAATAAAAACTGAAAAATGAATACAGAAAATGTCTAACAGATCATGTAGGTTTGTGGATGTGGCCAAGGAGATTTTTTAACATTTGAAGAATCCATACTAATAACAAGTTGTTGTTGTTGTTGTTGTTGTTTGTTTGTTTTACTTTTTCTGGCACTGACAACTGACATCTTCCATCCATAATTTACTATACCACTGGAATGGAGTCAGATGTTTTGGGGATGAATTTAATACAGAGTGGTCCGTCTATTTGTTACCTGCATAAATTACCCCAGAAGTTTTAGAAATGAATAACTCCTCTTTTCAACTTGCATGCTTTTCTGAGTGACAAGGTGGAATATGTGCCATCCTCCTTACCTGCCCAAGGAGGTGGACTGTCCTTTTGAGCAGCCCATCCCACACATTGCCACCTCCCAGCAGTCACTGTCAATTGACTGCTTAGGTTCTTCAGTGCCTATGTACATGTGATCTTTGTTAATAATGGCTTCAGATGCAGTGACAGGGATGCTGGTTGTCTAAGCAACTGGGATGAGCTGCAGAGAAGTCACCCAGAAATCCCTAGAGTATCTTCTCACAGTCACAAGAGGAGTGAGTTCAGTACATGGTGATATTTGGAGAGATGGCAACCATTCCTGCAGAATTCTTTTTAAAGTTGTAATTAATTTTTTATGTGTATGTATTTGGGACTTAGTGCGTGTGTACATACCATGTGCATGCAGTGCCCACAGAGATCAAAAGATGATGCCAGATCCCCTAAAGTTGGAGTTACAAAGGGTTTTGAGCCACTATGTGATTGCTGGGAACCAAACTACAGTCCTTGGCAGGAACAGTCAGTATTCTTAACTGCTGAGCTATTTCTCCAGCTTGTTTGAGAAATTTTATTACAGTATTCTGCTTGAAATGCCTGTTTTATTGTGGTTATTGTCTTAACTCTGTCTAACTTATAAATTAAACCTTACATATATGTGGACTGAGTGTCCATAACTCAGGTACTTAAAACTAAGTTTTATAACTTTCTGCATTTAGGAATACTCTTCGCACATGTGTACGGGCCATATATGCTATTTGTTCATACGTTATGCATATGACTTGAGGTGACCTGGAACAGGGTTGATAAGGCACCTGTGTTTTGGCTATGTAGACGTTTCCACTGAGGCATCATGTGGTACTCAGCAAGTTTTGGCATTTGGAGCATTTCAGATTTCTGAATTAGGACTGCTTAACTTGATTTGGGAAAAGTAATATGGAAAGGGTTTGGTTCCAGCCACAGTTGTAAGCATCAGGGGTACCTGGTTCCTTGCTGGTGTGTGGGACTGGTGGGGGGCGGGGGTTGGTCCTGCTTATGCTTCCTGACTAATTTCTTTTTCATAAAAACTTGCTCCTCGAGCCCATTCCACATGAAGGGATGCTCTCTCAGCCTGAACACAGGGGGGGAGGGCCCAGACCCTGCCCCAGATGATATGACTGACTTTGGAGATCCCCCATGGAGAGCCTCACCTTCCCTGGGGAGCAAAGTGAGGGTTGGGTGGGGGGTGAGGGAATTGGTGGGGGACAGGAGAGGAGGGGAGGGTGAGGGAGCTGGGATTCACATGTGAAAGAAGCTTATTTCTACTTTAAATTAAAAAAAATTAAAAAATTTGCCCCTCCCACATCCCTGAAGTTCTAGAAGAATCAGTTGAACAAGTACCATGATTTGTTCCTTCCTAGTCCAGTGTTTTTATGCTGCCAATAAAACCATAAATGCTAGAATTAGTCTCAGCAGCTGAAGGGAAAGGCCCTTCTCAATAGGAGTAGCATTCCCATGCTGGAAACCTGGGGGCCTGGGATGGTTACTATCAAGTAGTAAGAGGAGATTATGTAACTCCCCTTTCCGTGAGCGTGGCTTGCAGTGGGCGCATGTGGGTGGAAGTGTGAAGAACACCAGAGCAAAACAGGCAGGGTGTAAAATAGCATCTAAGCCTTTTGAGCAACACTCAATGCAGGCAGTCTGCTTTGAATAAACAAATGTGGGTTCCTTCCTCAAGTGTATAAATGTATGTGTCTCTGACTTCCTTAAAATATAAGCAAGGGACATCATGAGCCCTCTGATGAGCTGACTGAATCCTCCATTGTTTATCAGAAAGCGCTGAGCACAACTCCTTACAATTCATTCTAAACACATGGCTCATCATGCACTTTTTAAGGTTTTGAAATATAAGGATTTTAAATATATGTGTGTGTATGTGTATCCAAAAAAAAAAAGGTACTTAAACACAGTGAATTCCAAGGAGAATGAGGAGAGGGTGCAGACAACCCCTTCTCTCATCACAGGTTTCTAGCGAACTGCAGACTAAGGCCCTGGGGGATTGCTTTGTCTGAGGTCACAAGGTGGTTGGAGCCATGAGTGGAAGCTAAAGTTTTGATCATAAGCTCCACCTCTTCCCTTTCTTTTTCTTCTTCCCTGCTCTTTCTTTTCTCACAATTTCATATGTTAGCATCAGAGCATTAAACATTATTTTGCTGGTTTTAAAATCGTGGCTAAATACACATAGCATAAAACAAATTTTTTTAATGGATGAACATAAAAGAAAACAAAGGTGCCCAAAGTTTTATAGTGTGTTCTCAGTTGCATCCCCCCTCTGCCTGGCTGCTCACAGGGAGCCACTGTAAGAGAGGTACTGGGAGGTCTGGTGTTGGTGGCGCACACCTTTAGTCCCAGCACTCGGTAGGCAGAGGCAGGTGGATCTCTGTGAGTTCGAGGCCAGCCTGGTCTACAAAGTTACACAGAGAAACCCTGTCTCAAAAAAAAACAAGAGAGGGGGAGGTAATCTAAGATACGCTGAGCTCATATTATGTCCTACTGTGAGTGGCAGCCTGCCAAGTTTAGGGAATGCCAAGCTATAGAGTTGGAATTTGAGCGACTTCTTAATTAGAGGGAAAATTACCCAAAGTCCAAGTTATTTCCAGTAGGAGGAGGGGGCACATGTGTTTGCTGTGGAGAATTTGTCTTTTGTTCCAGACAGCCTACATGTAAGTGCTCATGTGTCACCGTGACAAGTGAAATCCTTGAGTCCTGCATTCTCATATGTATATCGCAAATGAGAGCTACCTGCCATTGGGGTGAACCTGTCCCCAGGCCTGCAAGCTGCAGAAACCTTAGTGCCCTGTCTGCTCCTGATTCTGCTGGCTGAAACACTTGCTAGGTGTTGAGATGAGTGGGCCTCTACCCCAGCTTGGTGACTTAGTGAGCCTCAGAGCCCTTGGATCTTGGGCAGTTTTAGTGTGTATTCTGGGTGATTCTTGGATCAGTTCCAGTTACTCTGCCCCAGACCTGTCTTCATTGTGACACAGACACATTGGGAACCTTGAGTACAGGTGGCTCCTCAGCAGCAAGATGACAACTGTATTAACCACCATGCTTCTTTTTACCCAGCAGTAATTCATTCACGTTGACGTATAAAACATTCGTGGCCGGGCGGTGGTGGTGCACACCTTTAATTCCAGCACTTGGGAGGCAGAGGCAGGCGGATCTCTGTGAGTTCGGGGCTGGGCTGGACCAACAGCCTCCAAAACAATACAGAGAAACCCTGTCTCATAAAACCAAAAAAAAAAAAAAAAAAAAAAAAACAGTCGTGACTTTAACCAATAGCAACTGCTAAAACCCTGGTGTTGTAACTCACAAATGAAGCCATGGAATGGCATTTGTATGTAATAGCCTACAGTTTTTTTCCTTGACCAATATTCTGTTATTTAAAACAAAATTGAGAGATTATATGTGTCAGTCAACTTTGTATCACTGTTATAAAATGCCTGAGATAATCAGCTTATGTGACTCAGCCTACTTTATTTAGTTCAGGGTTTAAATTCATAGTTGATCACCCTTGTCACTTTGAACCTGTCATAACATAGTTCATCATGGTATGTTTGGGTGATAGTGGTGATTGTTTACCTCTTGGTGGTCAGGAAGCAAAAAAGAAGAGGCCCATATCCCAGCATCCCATTCAAGGACATGACCCCAATGACCTTACTTCTTCCAAGTATGTTCTACTACTTCCCAGTAGCACCTTAAGCCTTGAGCACACAGGCCTTCATGGGATATTTCAGATCCAAACTCTTCTCTCTTCCTTCCCCTGCCTCTCTCTCTTTCTCTCTTGGTTTTTCAAGACAGGGTTTCTCTGTGTAGCCTTGACTGTCCTGGAACTCGCTTTGTAGACCAGGCCAGCCTCAAACTCACAGAGATCCGCCTGCCTTTGCCTCCAAGTGCTGGAATTAAAGGTGTGCGCCACCACTGCCCAGCTAGATCCAAACTCTTTTACCAGCAGAGTTAGAGGTGGAATTTTGAGGATTGAGTCTTTGCTTGTCATTGTAGTTACTTCACAATGTAAAACATAAAGCCACAATGCTCATGGTGTCTTCTCTTCAGACAGGAGCCAGGGCTTCAGCCTTCTCAACTCACTGGCTGGAACAAACCACAGCGTTGGATCAGCAGAGAGCTGTCACTCAGAGGTAAAGATTTTCTGCTCTTTTCTCCTCTTTGACTTTACTATCCTCGTGGATCTTTACATGTCTTCATTTCTTTAGCTTCTATTTAAGAGGCAGCAGAGAACTCAGCAGCTGAAAGGAGGCTCTGAAGCACCCCATTGTGCTTGACCCCTGTTGAGGGAATGCTGGTCCAGGTGTATAGAGCCTTGTAATGGTCAAGGCTGTGGGCATTCAAGTACCATATGATTAAGTCATGACTGTCCCTCTAGCGGTGATACAGTTGGCAGGTGCTCACTCAGGGATAGCGGGTAGAGTTTTTGCTAGAGCACTTTTTTAACTATACAAGGATTTCCTTGAAGCATCATCTTACTGTCAGATTGTTATGTAGAAAACAAACATGAATCTTTTTCAATACTTGTTGAACCAAGGTCCTGAGTCAAACCCAAGTGAGCTGACATTCCAATTCATCCTCTGTCCTCAGTAGCTCCATTCTGCCAGCCCATAACATGTATCTTAAATGATACAAACCAAACATGTTTTAGTGGCCAGTAGCAAGATCCTAACATTCATGGTTTTTCCTTGAGGGGAATAGCAGCTGGGATGGTGGCTTTGCAGCCTTTTGTGTTTGAATGTGACCTCATTCCTATTTGCTTCCTCCTTCGTGTTCTGTTATTGCTTCTTCACACCTAGCTGGGTATGGGAAGAATGAACTCTTTTGGATTTTTCACTGAAATAGCTTACTGTTAAATTGTTGGCTTCTATGTATTTCCCCCTAGGAGCAGGCCCCATTGCCAGCAGCTGAGAGGAAAGAGTCCCTTCCCGGCCATCATGGTGGTGCGTGTGGCTCAGCAGGTGCACAGGTTGACAACATTGTAGGTAAGTTCCTCCATGAGCTCCCCAGAGATAACAGCAGAACTCAGAGTAGACACCAGGACAGAAAACATTGAGGGGAAAATTAACTTCAAACATGGAGAAAATGAACGGCATACCCACTGGACATGAGCCCCCTGTGACTGTCCATTTAGCTAACTCATTTAGCTTTCCTTCCCACTCTGACATTCAAATGGCTGTCTGTGAAGGCCACCTGTGACCTCTGTGCCACTAACACTAGTATTCCCCATCCTCATCTTGATTGAGCAAGGGTCTTTAGGATTGTGACTGGCATTTCACTGACATGCTGTTTTCTCTTCACTCACCAACAGTGTCTCCTGGTTTCCCTCCTGGATGTCTTCGTAGGATTGTTCTCCTTTCCTCAAACTTTAAATACTGCTGTCTTCAGTGCTCTGTATAAATTCCTTTTTGTTTGTTTGTTTGTTTGTTTGTTTTTCGAGACAGGGTTTCTCCGTGGCTTTGGAGGCTGTCCTGGAACTCGCTTGGTAGACCAGGCTGGTCTCCAACTCACAGAGATCCGCCTGCCTCTGCCTCCCGAGTGCTGGGATTAAAGGCGTGGGCCACCAACATCCGGCCTAAATTCATTTTTTTAGCATATTTTTTAAAGCACAAAGTGACTCTGTCTTTGTCTCTAGTTCATTTACCATCTCTGTGCACAGATAAATCAGAAATGTCATCTTTGGCCCTGTACACCAACAGCTGACCTGGTGTGCACTGAATCAAGACACACTTTATGACCCCAGATGCACTTAAACAAATTGTACGGCAGTGTGGTAAATGAAAAGGATTATAAATCACCATCTTTGTCTTCAAATTGTTTATGGACAGGTGTATAGAGCCTTGTAATGGTCAAGGCTATGGGTATTTGAGTACCATATGATTGGGTTCAAGTCATGGCTGTACCTCTAACAGTGATACAGCCTTTAGTAGTTGATTCACCTCAGTGGTCCGAGTTTCTGCCTCAGTTAAGCAGGAGTAAGCAATCTGCTCCCCAGGAGTGTTATAAAGTGGAAATACATTCTGGTAGGTTAAAGTACTCCATTTTGATGAAGGTGTGGCCAGTAGTGTAGTTCAGTGGTAGAGTGCTTACCAAGCATGTGTAAGGCCCTGGGTTTGATCCCTGGTGCTCCAAAAATGATGGTGGGGAGACAGAGGGAAGGGAGAACAGGTGGACAGAACTTTGAACATAAGGGAACGGGAACAGATAGATATAAGGGAAAGGGGAATGGATGGACTGAGTGATAGGTGTAAGTGAAGGGGGGTGGGTGTAAGGAAAGGAAGAATGGATGGATGGAATGATGGATGTAAGGGAAGGGGATGGGTGGACAGAGAGATGGATGTAAGGGAAGCGGAAACTGATGGATAAAAATGTATAAAGCAAGCTTCTCTCAGTACTGCATGTGTTCACTGCAGTAGGGGTAGAAAATGTTAGAAAACCAAGGGGCCCACACAAATGCTGCCACAATTCTGCCAGCAGTAGAAAGAATCCGAGGATGGAGTCCTGGGCACTGATGGTCAGAGAAGCCACTGTCATTGTCACAAATATGACGGGGCTGGAGAAATGACTGGATAGTTAAGAGAGTATACAGCTCTTACAGAGGACCTAGGTTTGATTCCCAGCACCCACATCCAGAGGAGGCCCACAGCCACTTAAGGCCAGCTTCAGGAGATCCGAGGCCCTCTTCTGGTCTCTGCCAGCACCTGCACTCACATTCACACATCCACTCACAGGCACACATGTATATATGCATAATTAAAATAAATCTTTTTATTTTTTAAGTAATATGCTGAGGTAGAAATGGCAAAGGATTTGTATTAAGAAAACATGATTCAAAACAGTACCACCTCTGGCATTTATGTGAGTTCATTTTTAAACATGGATTGCTTTGTTTTTCGTCTACAAGTTGTAGAAAATGATAATTGTCCTGCTAGGCTTAGGTGTGGCCGTTTGTAATGGTGGATGTTGACATGATCATACTGGTCCCTGTTGAGAGTGTAGGAAGGGAATATTGCCTTTCAGAGAAAGTTGCTTGAGCAAGTCACATCTCTGGATGGAAGTAGTGTCCTCTACTTCATCACAGTGCTGTGGGGATGAAAGTGAGCCTCCAGCAGCTTGGCAGGGCTCTGTGCAGCCTGTGAAGCCGGCGTGTGTCAGCACTCAGCTATTGCCCACACTCACGAGAGTTAGTGCTGCCTGGTACCCAGCATGTATATAAGGAACGTGTGGCCAACTCTGGTTTCAGATCCCATGTTAGACCTGGATATTCAAGAATTAGCGAGTCTTACCACTGGAGGAGGAGATCTGGAGAACTTCGAGAGGCTCTTTTCAAAATTAAAGGAAATGAAAGGTAATTATCTCAGCACGTCTCAATCCTTTCATGTTGATGCTTTTCTAGTTTATGTGGTAGCAACTCACTTTGTAATGGCTAGATTGGATTCTGAGCTTTGGGCTTGAGAAATTTAGCTGCTTAGGAGATTGGACCATTTTATTGGTAAAAATTCCCTGAGGAAAAATTTCCTGTCTTGATTCTCTTCCCCCTCATTTTCCCTTCTTCGTAAGTGTGTCTCTTTTTTCATTGAGTCTCATTATCACAGCATCTGTCAAATTCCCACCAATTCACTCACATCCCATCTGGAAAATTTGGGAGACTCAAGCTTCCTAATGGCTGTAATGACTATACCATGAGCATATGTCGTAGAAACCCATCTACCATCTTCAAGTGTTAGCACACCCATGCACTCTAGATTCTGCTGTGCTATTAGACAAATTTCTTAAGATATATTTTCCCCCTAGACAAGGCTGCGACGCTTCCTCATGAGCAAAGAAAGTTGCATGCAGAAAAGGTGAGAAGACCCAGCAGGTATTTATCATCTACAAAAGGTCTTCCCTGTGACATGTGCACCACCACAGGGCCATAGTGTGAATGTTGCACTAGATACTATAGCCAGCTGGATGCTTATTTGTACAGTAGTAACACAGTTGCTACAGTCAAACTGACTTTTCTTCAGTGTGTGTTACGTGACATGGAACCTTCACCAGTACTCAGGGTGCTTACCTTCCTGTTAGACTGGAAAACTCTGTTTTTTTGTTTGTAATTGCCAAAGCAACTCATGTTTTTGGCAAGAAACTGACATGATTGGTGACATCTCATTATATGAGCTGTGTCCATTCCGGACATTGAGGCCACCTGCATGCTCATGTTTTTGCTTTTGTCAATAATGAAGCTTCACACTCATGTGCAGCCCTGATCACAAGTGTAGCACATGCCTAGTACAGTGGTCTGGGCCAAAGGCTGCCTGGGGATTTTAATGTGTGTTGCTGGAAGGCCAAAGTGTAGAATTACAGACCTCAGTTCAGGTGTGGCATATGAAATGGTCTGAAGGTTAGTTGTTAGTCTGAAACTTGTCACATGTTTTATTCACAGGTAGCCAAAGCCTTCTGGATGGCAATAGGAGGAGACCGAGATGAGATCGAAGGCCTGTCTTCAGATGAAGAGCACTAAATTCTTCCTGCTAGGTTTGACTGATTGATGCCAGCACTGTGCACTCAAAAGTGCTTCCCATGTCAACCAGGTTCTGTTCTGCCAAGATTGCCATTATCATGCTGGCCACCTGACTGGTTTGGGGGGTTCCCTTAACTGGACTTTTAGAAAAGAACTAGGAAAAAAATCTTTGTTCCTGGGACGTAAGTGAATGAGGGGTGAAATGACAGTATTGAGACATCTTTGGGTCTATATTCTTCGTGCCAGGGTAGAATGAGTCTTAGAGGTCTGTAGTACAGGAGAGCCAGGTGTCAACGAGCACACTGTGGTCCCAGCACGGGTGGAGTGGGAAGGTGGGGACTCTGAAGCCAACATGGGCTCCATAGGAGGCCTGCTTCTGTGCTTGATCTCCTGCATCCCCACTGAAGGTCTGAAGGCCAGGAGCTTGTGCGGTTCCCTGTGTGCTTCCTCTAGTCCCCACAAAGAGCAAGGCTCTGAGCTAAGATGGATGTTGTTGAGAAAAAAAGGAGGCATCTGTAGATCTAGTGTGTGCCTAGGGAGTCCTGGGGACAGGTGACTTATGGGTTTGTCTCCAAGCAAGTCCTTATGGACATTGTAAGTTCAGTGTCTTCTGCCACAAAGCAGTAAAGTCAGGTGTATATCTAAAAGAAACAGAGGCAAAGGTTTCATCCTCTGGGGAGGGTAAACCACCCTTTTCCCTTCTGCAGGACAAGGGCCCTTAGTGCAGCCCTGTGCAGGCCAAAGGAGCAGCGGAAGTTGGTTCTGAGCATGCTGTGCTAACATGCTGGTGACAGTACTTTTCTAACCAAGCATTTTCCCCAGCCATTTGAGATTTCAGAGCTGCTTGGAAGCCAGAGATCACTGTCAGAGCACTAACTCCAAGTAGGGGAAGGTGAGCCCTCAAACAGCCAGGTCCTGAGCCATGGCTTACTCTCAGGGCGATTGGCTCCTCTGCACCCCTCCAGGGCCCAGCCCCATGGAAACCCCTTTGTCCTTTCTCCTGTGTTGTGTATGAGTGCATCAGCCCCAGGAGAGCACAAAGCAGAGTTTTAAAGAAAGAGAGGAAAGTACAAGATAAAGGCCCTTATTCTGTCTTCATAGACACTTCCATGAGGCAGTTTCTGAACAGGTGCAGCCCATGGGCTGAGAGCTGGCCCTGATTTAGTGTGAGGAAACATGGATTAGATCACAAACAGAAGCAAGACTCACCTGCCCTGGGTTCCACTGATGGGACCTGAAACAGATGCTTGGCCAAGCCAGAACCACCACAGGGCAGAGATATCATCTTAGTGATGGTAGTAGCATTCAAGCAAACAGTGGGTGATGGTTTGCTATGAGTCCTGGTGTCATCATATCCTCCCCCCTCCCGCCCCCATTGATCTTGGAATCTTTGAACTTGGGTTTACCCGTTCAGTAGGGCTGATACTTTGAAGTAAGTGCATTAGCCATTGGTTAAGAAAGAAAATTAGGGAAGTTGGCTCTGAGTTGCCAGGAAGGCAGAACATGTTTTTCTTAAAACATGATTAAGAAAAAATAAACTAGAAAAGTTTATTTGTATTTGATTTTGCTAACTAAACAAAGCCAGGTAATTAAAAGATGATTTATTTATAAAATCTGATGTGTATTATATGCTTGGGGGAGGGGCATGAGTTGGGGAAGCCTGGTGTACAAAGTGTAGGCATACAAAGAGTCTAAAGAGTTTGTCAGCTGTATGTGATGTCTACTCCTGAGACCTCAGCTGATTATCAGGGATGTTGGCTCTTCGTGGGAATGCTGAGGGGCAGAGTATCTACTAATGGCTTAGTTTCTGAGCTGATGCTGTGGTAACTGGTGCTTTCTTCTCAAGTGTCCTGTACACATAACTTAGACTTCCAGAGTGGATGGAAAGTAAGAGACTGGCTTTCTATCTTAAATACCTCTGCATTTCTATAACAATGCTGGGTACATAGTAGGCCTACAATTTTTGTTGGCAGGTATGGTCTTCCTGGTGGAAAAGATCACAGAGTCTGATGATCCATGAGTTCTGGAAACTAAAGAGAGAGACAAGAGTCAAATTTTTCTTGCCTGAGACAATCACGTTATGTAATAATTTCAAAGTGATGAAGGCATGGCTATTTTTGTAATTTTAAAATATGGCAGAGTATGAGAAGGTTGACAGAACCAACTGGCTTGCTCTCTATTTATAGGACTTGGCCACATCTGATCCAGAGAGAGTGAAGATTGGGGGAAATGGGGCTCATTTAGATGGTTGAGTAATGTAGGATGTGGTTCAAGGATCACAGAGTGGACACCAGTCCTTTCCTGAGAACTGCTCATGCATGAGGAAGATGTGTGCCCAGTGTCATCCTCCCACTGTAGAGAGGTGGAGAAAACATCTCTGCCATGGTTTGTCATGTTTCTTGGGATCATCTTTTTAAATTTTATTTTTTTATTTTGTGGGTAAGTGTGTTCTGCCATTTTGCCTGCATCTATGTCTGTATACCACATGTATACAGTGCCTGTGGAGGCCAGAAGAGTGTGATGGATCATCTGGGACTGGAGTTACAGGTGGCTGTGAGCTGCCATGTGGGTGCTGGGAACCAGAACCCAGGTTCTCTGAAGGATCCGTGCTCTTGAGATGATCTCTCAACAGTGGCCATTGAGAGAAGATGAGGTGTGCAGGAGAATCGTGGTGCAAGGGTTAGATGTGGGCTCTGAGGACTGTTTTGAGTGTGGGTGTTTGCTACTGCAAAGGTAAATTTACTAAACTTGTCTAGAATGGTCAGGGGTTCTGGTTCATTAGTGCTCTGCTTGAAGGAGAGTTTAAGCAAATGTTCTGATGACCCAGATTGGCTTGTCACAAACCCAGCTACAAGGGACAATTGAGTATTAGATCATTATCAACTAGTATGAGAGGCCTACAGGGAGAGAAAATGCAATATCTTCTCCAGTGCGCTGAACTGGGATGGGCCTGGGGGCTGCTCAGTCTCTGCTCAACTCTGCCAGGGTTTGCTCAGTGACCCACCTCGCATCTATGGAGCACACACTCTTGAGTCTCATGTTCCCCATGTCTGCTTTCTGTCTTTACTAGGAGAGAAGTAGGTTCCAGTGTCAAGAGAAGTAGCTTGCTTAATTCTAGATTGTTCCTCTGATACGTGGAATGAACAGTTAACAATAGAGCCAACGGTAATTGTGCTCACCCCCCCCCCTTTTTTTTTTTAAGAAAAGGACAGATTCAAACCCTGACCTTAAAATCATTACTGTATCTTTGGAACACAAGTGTGCTTGATATGTGTGGTGGTGGTGGTCCTGAAAGCTTTGGTGTGTGCTTTATTTATGTGTGTATATGTGGATCTGTGTGTGTGGAGGTCAGAGGACAACTTGAACTCGACTCCCACTTGACATTTGAACTCAAGGTCATTAGGCTTGACAGCAAGCAACTTGACCCACTGAGCCATCTTGCTAGCCCCCCCTCTTTTTTTTTTGAGATGGAGTTTCGTCATGTGGCTCAGACTGGACTGGCTTTGCATTCTCCATCCCCTGGCCTCAGGCTCCTGAAAACTGGGATGACAAGTATGCACTATCAGTGACTCCCATACCCCTTCCCTCACCACCGAGAACCTGAGCAGCAGAGGTCAGGTGCAGATACTCAAGCCCAGCCTGCTAAACCAGGATCCTCCTTGCTGTTTAAGCCCAGCCTGCTAAACCAGGATCCTCCTTGCTGTTCTTGTGAAAGAAGTGGCCGTCATTGCCTTTGTGCTTCTGGTACCAACCAGATGGCTTTAATGCTACAAAGATGTGGACTCATCAATGCCCAGGTTATGTGCTTTACAAGAATAACTCTGTTGGTTGGAAGAGATATTGATTTAACCTGAGGTTCAAGGACATGGACTGCATTCATCAGTAGGACAATTTGGTGGTCTCAATCTTGTCTCTCTGCCCCACTGAGGATGAAATGAAGACTTAGGAATCCACCAGCATGGCCTGAGACTCTGTTGGTGCCAACATCAGAATGAGACAGACAGAGGAGTCAATCTTAAGGAAGTTTCTTTTCTCCTGGAGCTCAGAGGCGAGCAAGACAAGGTCACAGATGACAGGAGAGCAAGCAGAATGGAAAGAGGGTTGCAGGCAGCCTACACTGCAGCGGTTTCCAAATGTGAGCCCATCCAGAATCACCTGAGAGGCCCCACCGTGTTTCTGGTGAAGTTGGTGTGTGTGAAAAGCCTCATTTTTAATATCCTAGATGATACTGACACATCTTGGACGTGCTTTGAGAATCAGGGAAGTAATGCTGGACTCCAGCTAGGTAAGTGGGAACATGAAAATTCTTACAGTAAATCATGACAAGGTATAGAAATGAGAGCCCAAACAAGTATGCTGGCAAGCCCTGGAACAGTCCCATCAGAAAAATGGTAGTTATTATGGTGCCGACAGAGAAGAGTTGTCTGTCCCAGGGGGAATGAGGTGCCGCAGGCTGCAGGCAGAAAGGTGGTCCACGCATTCTCTGGCTGAGGGGACTCAGTGTTGTGACTAAGGTTGTTGCTATAGACAGAGATATGGAGTAGTAGCCATTGTATCATATGTTTATCCCTGGACTAGAGGGAGACAAATTAGAATTTGGGACAGCAGTCATAGCAAGTGACCCAGAACTAGATTTTAGTCCTCAGTTATACTGTGGAAAGATGCAGAAGGCACAGCACTAAGGCAAAACCCGGGTAGGATACTGGTACACAGAAGAGGCCACAGAAAGCCAGGGATGTAAGAAGAGCCCTGCTTTCAGTGGACTTAGCACTTGCAAGGGATGACAGACACGGGGAACACTGTGAAGGAGACTGGTGGCAAACACTCCTGAAAGGCTTCCTGGAGGAAAGCTGAACCCAACTCAAAGCACTACCGGCTTGGTGGTGTGGCTCGGAGAAGCCGTGAGCAAAGAGGGAGTTATGGGAAGGAGCAGCACAGGCAGGCCCCACCACCAACACCCTGGAGAAAAAGCAAGGAGTGGAGAGCTGCCAAGTATCCCATGGCATGGCCTTAGAGTTTGTGCTCTGAACTGAGGACAGTTTTGTAGTTTAGGTTTGAAATGCGACCCTTAAAGACCATGTGTTAAAAGCCGCCCCCAGCTCATGGCGCTATTGGGAACTGGAGGAACCTCTGAGCTAGGCCTGACTACCGGCACTGAGGCCAAGCCCTTGCTTTCTCTTTGCCTCCTTCCATCAGAGGCCCACAGCAGGGACAAATGACCATGGGTTGAAAGGTTGAGACCGTGAGCCAAAATAAACCTCTCTTACTCTTTCAGACATTTAATTATAGGGCAGTTCCAATAGGCTGTGTGAACTGTTAAAGCAGGCTGGAGACTAGAAGTGTCGGGATGGTGTGGCAGGGTCCAGGTGCCAGAGAAGCTACTGTGCAGGCGATGAGAGCAGTTAGGGAATCTAGAGAGCACCTGGAGGTGGGGAACTGGGGGCAAAGAGGACTTCTGCCAGTCCAGCTTTCAGGGTGCAATCGTTCTGTGATTCTGTGTTGTGAATTGTGAGCATGAGCAATTGATGGGCCAGCAGACCTTTGTCCCCAAGTTGAAGCTTGGGGCTGCTACAGGAGTCACTAGCATTCATGCAGCTGAAAACTCTGAGGGTTGATGAACTCATTGCAAGACTGTCAAGAGCACACGAGTGGTCTGGGAACACCAGATGGCAGAGATGCAGGCTCAAGGAAAAGGCAGATCCAAGAACTAGGAAGGCTCAGGGGACAAGGCTGAGTAATGGGAAAGGTGGCTCCATGATCCACTTCTCACAAATCCCTGTAATCAAGGTCTAGTTCAAGGAGCAGATTGGGGTACAGGCCCATCCACATCAACTACTGAAAAGTCTCCACACAAAGCCTGGAGGGAGTGAGGGGAGGAAGAATAGACCAAGGAATACCCCTAAGGTGGGAATGAGGTGGCTTATGGAGGCCTGTCTGAAGTGGTTCCTTCCTGAACAGGAGGCGCTGGATCCTTACAGGGCAGGTGGAAGGGATCCCCTGAAGGATGGGGCGCCATCTCTGTCCCAGCTGTGCTTCATTCTTTGGTATTTTGGTACATCTAATGATGTAAAATTTCAGTCAGGACACATACTGTCTTGTTCTTGTTTTTAGAATTCAGAATGACACCCTGGGGCTTGTAGGGGTTCTTGTGATACTTGTGTGTCTCTGTGAAGGTATATATTGGCATGGGGGACATGGTGACAGTACGGCAGAGGACAGCGAGGGGAGGCCCAGCAGCAGGACTGGAGCTGGGATAATGGCCTGCAGTCACTTGCCAAAGTTCTTGGTGTGCAAGAGGAGTGTACAGAGGGGTCCCACAGTGTGCATCTGTGGGGTTGGTGCCATATCTGGGGGATCCAGGAATCCCTGTTGGTCCTGTGTGGTGTCCTCGGTGAGGAAGTGGCCATGGCAGTGGGCCAGGCACAGCGTTGTGGTATTGGCTCTTGCTGAGCTCTGAACCCCCGCCCCCTTACTAGGATCCCTTTGAAATCCATGTACCCGGAGACATCAGCAGGAATGAGACTGCGCTCCTCGCCCAGGAGCCTTACAGTGAAAAGTTTATTAGGAGGGCACTTATAAGAGGGGACACAGCTCCTTAACATTGGGGTACAATGCTGTAAGATACAAAAGTTAGAAAAATCTAAAACACTATAAATACATGCTTTTTACAAAGATACTAAAGCCCCAGATGGCTGAATAGTGACAGTAACCTCAGCCTCCAGGTTTCCCCAAATGAGAGTCCACACCAGCTCGCTTGCCCTGGCAGCGGCCCCAGAAGGGAGGGGCCTTGGTGCAGAGGACATGCTGTTGAAGGGTCTGGGATTGACTACAGCAGCATGCCACCACTTGTTAACCCAGTCTGGTCTGATGTTCGTGGATCCTGTACCAAAAAAATCACTGCAGCCTCGATCAGGGTTTGGGACTGGCTGTGCCCCAACTTGACCGAGTCACTGTCCTGGGGGAGAGACCTTTACAACTGTCTTTAAGAAATTAAATAGTTATCTGTCTGAATGGTTTTAAGGAGTTGTTACATAAATATGAAAATAGCAGAACGCTAAACATCACTTTTGTGTTAACACCAGCCAACTGCAGGGGATGTTTCAAAGGTGATAGCCATGCCTCAGCATGTTCGCCTCCATCTAGTACCCCGTCAGCAATGCCACATCTTCATGTTTGACCCCCATCCTGGTGTGTGGCTCTCTGCCCACTTGGGGAGTTGCTGAGCACTGTGGAGACCGTTACTGAAAGAGGCCGGGGACGGGACATTGATGCCACTCATTGGAAATGTTGAGTAAGCTCTGACCAGGTTCCTGCACACACATCTAGCCACTTAGTCACACAGTCAGAGATACAGTGCAGAGCTGGAGCTGTGTCCCTTCCGGTGCAGGTAGTTTTCCAGCTTCTCAAGGACTTAAATAACAAAGAAAACCTTGGAAATGGCAGCTTGGGGCTAAGAATGAAGTCAGATACTCGCCTCTGCCCCAGACAGCTCAGGCACAAGCGTGACGGCACACACTATTAGAGAAAACCTTTGTGGTTGGAGTGAAAACAACAAGCCCTGGAATAGACCCCCACTCTGAAAAGCAAGTGGGGGGAGAGCAAGACCACAGCGCCCTGTAAGCACTGCGGTTCAATACATTAACGAGTAAAAAAAGTCACTGACAATAACAATAGTACAACACACTCTCAGGACAGTGGAGAAGTCTGCCAGCAGCCTTGCTAAGAGAGTCCCTGCTCCCCAGTCCAGGCTTTTCTCAAAAATGTCAGGGCTTCTGCAGGCCCCCTGGAAGGTGGCCAGCTGTGATGACATACCAGCACAGGCCTGCAGCCACACAGCTGGGCTACCTGCACACGCACTAAGTTAAGTTAGCTTCTCCAGGGTGCTGAAGACGAGGATCTCTGCCCAGAGCCAGCCACGTGGGTCAGTGTCAGCAGAAGCCCGAGGCTGGCACAGCACATGCAGTCAGGTCACCTGCAGGAGCCACACACTTCAAAGGCTGCAGCAGCAGCTGTGCTGCTTCCCTCTTGACTTCCAACTGTTCTTTAGAAGTACAGATGCTGTTCATACAAGGCGAGATGGGAAGCTAACTCAGGAGGACACCTAGATTACATGTACCCAGAGGACCTGTGTTCTCCACCACCGAGTGACATTTTCTAGATTCCAAGCCTTTTATTTTCAGGGATGCCGAGAGTAGACCTGCCTAGAATTCCCTTGTCCATCCTTCTCCAATGACTGGCCAATAAAGCGAAGGAGCCAAGGAAGTAACCTTTGGCAAGAAGAGAGAAAAAAATGATAACTTCGTTTCTCCCAGCTAAGCATTGCAGGTTCTCCTGCATTCCCCAGATATAGAATGGGCTGTGGGGTGACTCCATTCATACTGTATGGACCTCTTCTCCAGGCACCTACGGGATGGCGAAGCCCCTAGGAAACTAGGCAGCAAGTGGACAAGGCAGGCCCCCACGAACCATCACCCACAGTCTCAGTAGAAACCACATAAGAACACCCTTCCTTGTACTGTATCTGACTCAGAGCATGGGTGACATCGAGGCAGTTCCAAGAACTTCCTGTGCCTGAAGCAACAGTCCACAGGCCATTTCAAGCCTGGCACAATGTTCACACCCACTGTCTGTGCCCTCCGAGGGTAGACATTCAGAACTGCCTTTGGGCTCTGTAGCAACAGCCTGGGGGAAGATGCTCACAAGGCTTCTTGTCCAAAAGAGACTTGGGGAAGAGCATGCCCAACTGGAAACATCCTTCCCAGCACTGGAGAGGCCATAGGATCCTGCAGGAGAGACCACAGAATGTGCTCCCAGGTTTATGGAGCATCAGAAGATTCGTCACATTGGAGAGTGCACTTTCTTCCCTTCTGGAACAGGACAGGACTTCGGCAGGAAATCCATGCAAAAACGTGGGATAGTCATTTCACAACAGAAACGGCAGCCAAGAAGAAAGTACCAGTTGCAGGTGACGATCCCTTGTGCTGTGTTCTAAAAAAGCCAGGAAAGGGACTTTTTTTTTCCAGTTGAAATAATTTATACTCGTTTTCTCTATAATTGCCACTGGGAACGGTGCTCATTACACAGTATCGCTGCAGCAGTTTTTTCGGTGGCAGTCCTTTACCAAAGCTGGGTAATCTTACATCCCAGGGTGAAGATGACAGGCCTCTCTGCACCAAGCCTGCAATTTCCCAAGGTGTAAAAAAATTGTAATAGCCCTTTTCATTTGCCCATGTCGGCCTCGGGTGTCTTACCTTCTGGTGAACTGGCTTCTGTAAATCTCAGTTTCTAAACCTCAGGGCAAGCAGCAGTTGCTGGGTCCACTCTGGTCTTCCAGCCAATGTACATACCCAGGATTGTTTTATAAAACAGAAGGCATTTCCAAGAACCCATGCTAGGTGAGTTCATTAACGAAACTGGCTCCGTAAAACAACACAGCACATGCATCAGAATATGGTGTCACCTCACCTGGACATGCACTTCACCACTGCCCTCTCTGCCTTCTGTGAACACCTGGACAATATCCGAGTCTCTCTGAGAGTAACGTGATAATAGGCACTATTCATCCCATACACGCTGAGCTTCAGCAGGTCCTTTCAGGGGAGAAGGAAAATGAAGACATGGCTCTCAACAGCTTTACCCACTGGCATGTTCCTATCTGTGCATTTTGAAGGCGGGGAAAGTGCCGGTGTAGGCCATCCAGTTCACCAGGTACCTCCTCTCTGTGAAAGTGGTGGGACAGGGCATTCTCCGTTGGTGTTTTTATCCACAGCTACGGGAAGCTAGGGCACTCTTCCACTCCAGCCTTGAGAAAGGCACTTTCCTTCTAGACGGTCACATCCCAGATCTCTGTCATTAAACAAGGAGTCAGATGGCAACACACCACCTGTTAGCTCAAGCCACCAGATCAGAAGCCATTATTTGGGCTTCAAACTGGGGCACGTGTTGCAGCAGACACAGCTGTTCATAAATCATCCCTGGGATTTTGTGTGTGTGGTTTCAGAAACAGGTTGATGCCTTAGTTGAAAGAAATGTGTTGTCTTTGACAAGAACAAGTTGGATGAAGTTCTCTTCCAAGGCCATTTTCCCCAAGCCCACCCTCCCCCCGCCCACTCCCTCCACTCCTAGTATCTCTAAGACACACTGGAACAGCGGATGCTGGGGGGAGCCCATCTGGGTAAGGACCTTGTCAAGCCACTGCAAGGGCCCATTTAGGTGCAGCTCGATCCAACAAGGGGTACTGGTCACTGTCTGTCTCCTGCAGAAAGAGGAAAGAGGTGGGAGACTTTAAAATGTCCAGAAGGGCACACATGTCAGTCAGAGCACAGCTTTCTGCTACCTCAGGCTATAGATCTCTTCATGCTGAATACCGCCTAGAGTTGTACCAGTAATGTGGCCAAACCAGACTACACTCTTCCAGTCGAGAAGGCCTTTGAGTAAGTCAGGTTCTGCTGGAGGAAGAGGGCCTCAAAGAGTTAAAGAAAGGTCAGTTTCCAGGGACTGTGGCAAGCCTGAATGAAGGTCTCCCTGGCTCCCAGCTCTGCCACTGGATAGGTACCTGCAGCCCTGCTCCAAATCTGGGTCAGCCCCACAGTTGTCTGACATGTCTGTTTGATGGAGAGTGTTTTTACAAAGCACTGACAGAGCCCACATGCTTCAGGTCCCAGTGTGCTGCTATAATCCCATCTACAGCTTATTTTGGAAAATCTTACCAGCAGAGCTAGCCGGGGAACAATTACTGGAAAAACCAAGGCACACCACACATTTCTTTGCCTCCAAAGCACTTTGTCTAAATTCAGACTACTTGGTGACGCAGCTTGCAGGCAAGCTCCCAGAAGCCTCCAGTGAGCAAAGGCTATCTGCTGTGGCGACATGCGGGTGCCAGCTGGAGGTGAGACCTGGGCCGCAGGCCCACTTACAGCTGCTTTAGAAAACTAGCCTGAAACCTTACTCTGTTTGGCCCACAATGCAGGAGGGCATGGCTGTTCTGGGAAGGGGCCGCACCCTCCACTAGGCTGCTGTGCCATGCTGCCAGGCGGCAGTGACGCAGTAAGCTGTGTAGGACGGGTTGTGCTGGCAGGGTATCCTGCGTGGTGATACGCTGCCCCAGAGAGGGGCTTCTGCCAACACACCCAGGGCCATTATCCTGAGGGTGACCCTCTGTGATCATCATGTGCTTTGCCTGAATACTTAGGGAGGCTCACACTCATCCTGGGGTGTCTGCCTGAAGGCAGTGGGCCTCCCCGTTCTTTTCCTTTGGGGTTTTTGCACTAACGAATTAATTGGCCTCCCCGTTCTTTTCCTTTGGGGTTTTTGCACTAACGAATTAATTGTCTAACCTTTCACTCGCATTCCCTAAATGATCTAAATCCTGAACTAAAAGGTTGGCTCAGGCATTTCTCCAACCAGACCTTTGGGCTGGGTCATCATAACATGGCTGAAAGCTCTTCCGCAGTCTGACCACGTGGGTTGCTTGCTTGGTCACCCTCCCTGGATTTCAGATTAAAGGGCCCAAAGTGCTTTGCTCCCTGGCACCATGAGGCATCCACGAAAGAACAGCAGCTCTAAGATCTTAATGGAGAAGCTGGGCTTTACAGACCTCCATCCTCGGCAGAGAATCCGACTTTCCATAAGTCATGCTCATCGGGATTTCATTACGAATGGTGGCCCAGAGCCAATATTGAAATGGGTTTGGCTAGGGTGCAGAATGACTGCAAAACAAAATTGATTCCAAACATCTGGAAAAATGAAGAGAGGGGGCGAGGAACTCGCAAGGCGCTGGCTGCAGCTGATGTGTGGGTACCTCTGTGTCTGTTCTGGGGGCGAGGAGGAGGCGTGGAGCAGAAGAGCATGTGGCCCTGCCTCCCAGAAAGCTCCCGTCCAGTATGGGGAAAGGAGACTAGATTCTCATTAAACCCAGTCTAGACGGTCTGAGGGCCTCAATCGAGCAGACCGGGTAGGCCTAGCCATTACCGGTGGAAGTACTAACTGGAATTCTTTTAAAAAAAAAAAAAAGCCATTCTTTATAAGCACTCAAATCTCCTTTGTTGAGTTTACTAGTGATGGAGCCGGGGTAGTGTCAGGGAGACAGTCACCATGAGAGTCTGTCCCCAGAGAGACTGAAAACACAGAGGCAGCCAGGAGGGGCCAGGACAGAACATGTATTTTCTTTTCCCTCCCTAGACTTGAGCTTTCACATCTCTGTAAAAATAATGCCAATGTCCCCAGGCTGGGCCTGGAGATGCTGACCAAGCTTAAGAACTGCTGAGCACCAGGCGAAGGTCATGCTGCAATACCTGGCCTCCATACCTGCTCTCCCTGGTCCCTGAGGACCAAGGCCAGTTGCCTGGAGTTGGCTCCTCCCCACCACATGCCGAGAGCTCCTTAATCACTGACCTGTACTCTGCTCCCCAGCCTTTGACGAAGCTCATACGGATGGTGCACATGCGAGTCAACTGGTAGACGGCCTCAAAGCCCTGGTTGACAGACTGGGCCAGGAGGGCAGCAAATTCCTGGTTGTTGAAGATCTTCAGGTTGCAGCCTGCCAACCACAGACAGTCAGATAAAACCATTCCTGCAACTGCCCAAATGGCCCGATCCACACGCCTCTGGTGGCACACGGTGGTTCCACTCAGTGGCCACCTGCTCTGCTCATCCCCATGCAAGGAGGGGCCTTTTCCATTCCTACACTAGACCTGCACACCCTTGCAGGGAGACACATGGGCAAGGGACACCAAAGGCGGGCCCACAGGTGCCACCCCCTCCAGCTGTGGGGATGTCAGATGCTAAGAAGGAAGCCCAGAAGTGGGCTTGGACGACACAAGGATCTTCTGGAGAGGCTGAGGCAGGACTCTAGGGCTCAGAGAGGCAAGGGACCTGAGCCTAGCTGCCAATGCCTTGTGGTGTGGCAGCCACCTAGGGACAGGGGCTTCCTCATCGGTACAGCAGCAGGGGGAGTGTGGCAGTGAGGTAGTATGGGGCCTACTGCTAGAGTCAGAAGCACCCTTCACCTGGCTCCTCTGATGGCCCTGCCACATGCCAGGGCTGAGGAAGAGAGCTGGGTCACATGGTGATCTCTCGATTCAAGCTTGGGCCAAGGTGACATCATCAACAATGTACCTGATTCTCCAGAATGCAACTAGAGACAGGCACGAATAACATGGAAAATAACCCTTGTTTGAAGTCCCAACTGCCCAGGTGCCAGGAAAGCAAGACCCAGAAAATAAAGACTAAAGTCCATGTCCAGGAACTAGAGAACCAGCACAGACCCTATCAACTGTGGACTCTGCCCTGCCTCTCCTGGTGATCCTGTATGCTGTCTTTAAAATGGGGGTGGGGTGGGTCTTAGGGGTTGCAGGGCCCTGACAGACTGTAAGCTGACAGGGTACTACGAGAGATGCTCAGCCTTCACCAGGGAGGTGGAGCAGAAAGGCATGCTCCTGGGGAGGGGGGTACAGACCACACCCACTCCCAGGGCTGCAGACTCAACACCAGGCTAGTCCGCCAGCCCTCCACTGCCCAGGCCGGCTGTGGCTGCTTCCCAGCTCTTAGACTTGGAGAAGTAAGTGTGGCTCACTCTGAACTCTCTCCCTAGCCTTTCTTAGAGCCACAGGGGTTGCTGGAGAGGAAGCATGAGCTCAGAGATGTAAATGAAACCACAAAAGCTGCCAAGGCAGACCTCCACTCCTGGCTAAGACTGTCTGCACTCTGGTTTACTCAGCCCACAGCCCACTGTCACCTACTCAGCAACAAACAGGAAGAGCTAGCTATGGATGTCCTAGGCAATGACACAGGCCACCTGCTATGTGAGGAGTGCTTTGGCTTTCTTCCTTGGTGGGGTCCAGCCCACAAGTTCTTGGGACCCAGGAGACACCCTCAGAAAACCCTGAGCTTCCCCAGAATAAAACCCAAACTTTACCCCTTCATCCAAGCCCAGCCCAGGATGCCTTCTAAACATCTCCCTGTCTTTTACATGGCACCTCCAGCCAGTGTCCCTCCCTGCATTTCTTCTACACCCTTGTTACAGTGTCCACCCTGCCACACGCCCCATCATCTCCTGGCACCTACGTCTCCTCCAGTATGCCTTCCTTGGTCATCCCACAAGTAGATGCCCTTTCTCCCTATCCGCTGCTTGCTTGGGACTTAGAGCCTTCTGTGTGTCACACTCCTCTGTCTTCATTCCTGTAAATCTGTGAGTACAGAAGGGGCACCCGCCCCGTCCACCTCTTCATCCTGCTCCAGTTCCTGTCACAGACACCCAAATACTCTTCGGTTAGGAAGAATGGGTGAAGGAAAGGAGCCACCTCACACTGTGGGTGATGGGCAGTGCCCTGGGTTACAGATTTGTTCGATGGTACCTCTGTTCCCATGAGCTTCAGTGGTGCACAGGAGGACAGACGGGTACAGAGTGTTGACAGTGCAAACACCAATGTGGAGGAGAGGCAAGGAAGCCTTCCCAGGCATTCCTCAGGAGCCATGGCTCCAGGGCTGCACTTCAGGGGCTTACCTGGGGGGATCTTGCAGACGGTGGCAGGGTGCCAGCCATAGCGCTGGTTACAGTTGGGTGACTGAACAAAAATAGCACTGTCACTGAGGCACTCTGCAAAGACCTCCCCTCCAATGTAGTAGAGCCGCACACCTCTCCCTAGGGAGTCAGGAGACACTGGGTCAGAGACCACCCTACAGGGCGACAAGGCCAGCTGGGGAGGACAGCAGGCAGAGTTGCAAGTGACTATAAACGAGGAGCCCAACCCGAAGTCAGGTGGAGGATGGTGGGCAGCCCTGAATTCCTAAAGTAGTTGGAACAGGTGGCACACAAAGGAGCCTGAGCCAGCTTCTACCATTACCCAGGCCTGAGCTGTCTAGGAGAGTGGTGATAACCTGCCTTAGTGGTGACTGCAATGGTGTTGAGGACAGCTGCTGCCACCCCACTGCCCTAGTTCCACCTCCCCCCAAAAGACACAGAAGTGCCGTGGTGAAGCCAGGGTGCTACTGACGCATCAGCCCTCTGGCCCCTTGCCAAAGGAACCTCCTTCACATGGTTTTCTAGTGCAACTCTTGCTTTCCCTTTATCATCTAAATCCACTCCAGATGGACAGAAATTAATTTTCAATTGGCTCAGCACTCCAGTGGTTATGTAAACATTGAACTCTGCCCAGTAGGGATGTCCCCTTATGCTTAGGAGAGTCCCAGAGTGCAAGAAAACAGCTCAATTTGAAGACCAGAGTCTTGTAGGACTAGGGGACATCTGTACACCACCTGACCAGAACCCTACTGTTGCTCTACTCCCACCTCCTCTCCTCTGGATCCTACAGCACTTGGTGATGGGGGGGGAGGGTCTTAGTGCCCCCAGGAAGCAGCAGTGAGGGCAGGACAACCCATTACCAATGTGCCGTCTTGTAAGTTCCACAGCTGCATTCCGGTTGACATTGGACAGCAGGCCCAGGCAGAAGCGCTCAGAGTTGGAGGGATCAGTGAAGCCATCCACTGTCATGGATGGCTGTGAGGCATGGAATGTCTCCCCAACTCGCTGGTTCAGCTCGTAGTAGGAGATGGAGCACCAGAAGGCCGGCTCACAGTAGGTCACTGGCTGTAGGTCTGCAGAGACATGGAGTGTACCAGGTCAGTGGGTACCCAGGGAAGCACTGAAACACTCTCATCCTTTGCCCCCAACCCCAACTTTCCATTGCACAAACCCTTCAGGGTATCAGCAAATGAGATCCTCAGAGTCTGAGGGAGGCCCAAGGGAAGCGAACCACACGCACCCTTCTCCATAGAGTCTAGCCTTGCTGTGAACAGAAGCAGCCTTCAGAGAGGCTAGCCCAAACATGAAGTGGGTCAGGACCAGCCAGCACCAGGGTCGGCACTGTGAGCAGCCCTAAGTATGCTCTGGATGTGGTATGAGGCCATGCCATCTACAAAGTCACCTCTTAGCCTCTCTCCTGAGATTCTCAGAGTTGCCCATGTCAACCTCTGCCTCCCAAAGGACTTTATCTTAATGCCGTTTGACCTGAGGAGCAATTTGGTATCTGTCATGTGTAACGGCATGGCCACAGTGGCCTTATGAGTTCGGCTGCACTTCATGTGTGAACAAGCAGACCAGAAATCAGGAAGAGGAAGGGCCGTGTGTCTCACAACAGAAGCCTTGGCCCATCTTTTATGTAGTCCGATAGCTGTTAGAACAATGGGATGCAAAGCAACTCAGATTTTTTTTTATAACCTCAGCTAGGAGCTCCTCAGGGCAGACTAGCCACATGACGACCAACTCTCTCCTAGGATAGCTGGGGACTACTTAAAAAAGTCCTCTCACATGGTCCAGCCTTCCACTTCCATGTCCCAGGACCCATGTGGAATTACAAACAGCCCAGCACACGGCATCCCCTTGGCAAGGTCCCTTCAGGAGGCTGGGTTCTGCCAGCTCCTCCCTCATCATCTCACAGCCTCCTTCAGGACTGTATGCAGCCAGCACCGCCTCCAGATGCTCCTCCACACTGTAGCTGGCCTTGGGGAGGAGCTTCAAGCCCACCTCCTGCTCAGATCTATACTCCCACTCTGGAATACTCTCAAGTATTCATGCAGCCACCTGGTGATTCTGTTTGTCTTTGTGCTGGTATCCCAAGTGTCCTGACTATACAACTTGACTGTGAGGTCCTAGAGTCCCCACTCCTCCCGTGCACGGGGCTCCGATGAGAAGGGGATAGGGATGGCCTGGCACTGGCCTGAGAATCCTGTCTGCTTCCCACCAGGCAACTTCTTAAAACAGAGAGCTGCAGGGACCTGTGCTCAGTATCTCTCAAGTGCCCAAGCCAAAGAGAACAGCAGATGCTGTGTTGCCCACAGGGAAGGACCTAGGTGGCCCCTGGTGACATAGTGACCCCAGTCTTCACACAGTACATACTGCCAAAGCCAACTCCAAGGTCAGCACACCCTAAGCTGAGGCAGATGACTACTTAGGAGAAAAGGGGTGGGTTCAGATATAATGGGATGGTCAAATGCATCCTCTCAGCCTCCACCTGGGTACCAATAGCTATATCTACCTCATCCTCCCAAGTTCTGACAATAAGAACCATTCCTAGACACTACCGGATGTGTTCCAGGGGTTGGAAGTGTTTAACCAGATCATAGAGTAATTCATTCATGCCCCTGTGTCAGCCTGTACATTGCCCTGCCCGTATATCCCATCCTCTATACCCCTGGAATCACTGAATTCCCTGAGCTAACTCAACTAAGATGTGGGCATGCAGCAGGCATTATATCATTCTGACAGCGATAATAACCTTGACTATGAACTTGGGAACACCGTGGTCCTGTCTTGACCTTCCAGATGCAGAAGGGCAAAGCTTCCTTCCCTCCTTCTCTTCTCACAGTTAAGCGAGAAGCTGAGGGAATGGCGGCAGAGGATCAAAGCTACTGTGCAGAGCAGAGAAGGGGAGTGATGAGACGGCAGCAGCTGTGGCCTGTGCCCCTGGCTCCTGAGGTTGGACTGAGCCACATCAGCCATGTCCGGTCCTGGCTTTGCTCCATGCTTCCACATTCCAATGAGATAAGCTAGATTCTAAACAATTTAGCCACTAGAATGTGAGCTATGCTGCTTTGAACATTTAAAAAAAAAAAAAGGCCCAGTGCTAGCCAAGTTTAAAACCGGTCAGATGACCTGTGAGTGCTGCTGGCTGCTACTGCCCAGGTACAGGCTCTGCCTACCTTGAAGTGTGTCCCTGGGAACATGACCTTCTACCCTGGTCTGTTTACTCATCTATGTCAAGACTGGTTCTAGAAGATAGCTAAAGCTGGCCATCTTAGTCACTGTTTCTGCCATGTTTCAACTTAAAGTGATAGCTTTGGCTGATCCAGGTCAGCCCTGACTTCCTCAGTAATATGCATTAAAAAAATCCTCACTCCCAGTTTTCAAAGTCCTGTCTAGAATCTGTGGGCCTAACCCAGGCACAAGAGAGTTAGTGTTAAGGTTCCCAGGAACACCAATACCAACACCACCAATCCAAACAAAGGCTGGCAGACCACCCATAGTCTCTGTCATACCTAGAGGAACAGAGTTCTGGGGAAGGGTAGAAGGTGGCACTCCCAGGCAGATCTGTACCCTCCTCCAAACATCTCTGGGAAAATCCCCACCCCGAAGGACCCTGAATAGCACAGTAGGGAGACTGGACTCAGATACACAATCCATCATGACACAGCCCTGTGCCATGGCACCAGGGCTCAACTCAAAGGGTGCCTGTCTGGCTCACAAACGGGGCTTACTAGGGTAGCCCTTCCATGTCTGAATTCTCTGCAAGGCCCGCACCTTTGGGTTCCCTCTCCCTCCCTTCCCACTACAAGCCCTGATTGCTTCCTTCAGGCACGTTAGCCATAGCTGGTGCAACGGAAAAAGTATAGTTACTATTTCTTCCTGCAATGGTAGCCCCCCACAGATCTTTTTCTAGCAGAAGTCAGGTCTCTCGAGAGAAAAGACTGTCACTGGTGTAAGTATGTGATGGCAGCTACTGACAGGACTCTCCTTGACTCTGAGCTTCAAAAAGGGAGCATAGTTGTTAAGGTTTGGACCTGAAAGGTACCCCATAGGCTGATACAACTGAATACTTGGTCCCTAGCTGGTGCTGCTGTTTAAGGAGGTTATGAAACCTTGTGACACTGGGCCAAGCTGGCAGATGTAGGGCCCTGGAAGCAGGCCTTGAGGGTTACAGCCCGCCCTGAGTTCTGGTTCCACGCTCTGCTTCCTGATCTACCAAGGTTTGAACAAACTGTGCTTCAAGATCCAGCCAACATGGGCTTAGCTGCTCTAGTCACCATGCCATCCCCCCACCCCCCAGGGAACACACCCCAGGTTCCAGGGCTTCCCTTGCAACAAGTGTAGAGGTAGTTTACACAGGCCCTGAAGACCTGGTACTCAAAGACTGTAGGAGACTGGCTGATGCCCCATGGATGATGCCGTGAGGAACACGAGTTTGCTCTAATAGTCGAAGGCTTCCACATACCTGGAGTGCAAGAGACCTTGACTCCACACAGCCCAGCTCCCACCAGCCTGCCAGTCCTTGCTAATCTCTTCCCAGGGCAGAGGTGTTGGAGACACAAAACCTCCACACTAGCCATCAGGGCCTCCACCTCCACCAGCATGGTGTCAGCCAGGTTTCTCAACTGGCATGGGGCACTCAGTTCTCCACTGGCCCCTGGCCAGCCTAACGCATTGGCTGGCTTCAGTTCTGAGCCCCGTTCCAAGCTGGCACAGACTCTCTGTTTTGTTTAAGGAAAAGAAAACAGAATAAAACCCAGAAGGCGACACTCGGATTAAGGGGTGCCTATTAAAACCATGTGCAAAAGATTCCAGTCAGCAGAAGCAGAGGGAGGAGAGGGGCACGTCAACTTTCTCCTGAGCTGAGGCAGGCTGTATGTGTGGGCAAAGGTCTGCACAGTGGGTACCATCCGACCTGAGGTCAAAGCAGAGACGGCCTGGCTGGTCTGGGTCCTCCACACCTGTGAAGGATGAACTCTGCCTCATTCTTGAAGATTCTACCCTCCAACTCCATATTCTTCTGGCTGTCTCGTCCCTAGTTGTTGCTTTCACTGGCATGTCCTTTCCCACCTGTACGAGCCTGACCTGAAGGGCCCAGTACAGGTGACAGGAGAGACATTCCCTACCTTCTCCACCTCCTTTGTGGCCCCAGCATCTGGGTCCTAACTTCAGTCTGCCTCTGAGGTTGAGGCAGAGAGCTAGGATATTCAATGAAAGAGTATAAGCTGCTCTGGCCTCTGACCAGTTTACTGAATCAAGAAAACAGCAGGGGCTGAAAACCAGGCACCTGTGGCAGTCGACTTCCTACCATCATGTTTTGTGCATGCATGCGTGCGAGCGTGTTGCATGTGCCTCGGGACAACCTCAGGTGTCGTTCCCCAGCTTCCACCTTGAAACAGGGTCTCCTGCTCAGCTGGCCCACAAGCTTCCAGGAGTCTCCCGTCCCTGTCTCCCATCTTGCTGTAGGAGCGCTGGGATCATAGACACATGCTACCACATCCAGCATTCTGTGGTTCCTGGGGTCTGAATGCAGGTCCTCATGCTTGCACAGCTGTTTATAGTAAGCCACTTACCTAAGCACCTGCCTGTGTTTTCCTAAGTCTACTAAAGGATGCAGCTACAGATAGCCTTTAAAAAGTACCGTGCCTGGCAGCATGAACTCTGCTGGCTTCTCTTCATTGCAGGAGCCTTTTACTCCTGCCACCCAGCCCAGTCCTATCCCAGCAGAAGGAGGCTCACCCAGCCACAGGCAACTCCAGGAACCATTACCACAATAGGCTCAGCTCTCTGCTGCCCCAGGGCTTCTACAAGGACATCAATTTCCTAGGCCCAGCCACACCCTATATGTGTCACTGTGAAACAGGGAACAACTTACTCACCAGGAGGGATCCAACTGCCACCTTTCCCTAACCTGCCGCTTCCTTCCTCCATTTTCCTCAATCTTCCAGACTTAGGACCCACCCAGCATGATGTGTCTGAACAGAAGCAGGCCCAGCTCATAGCCCCTGAGCGGCAAAACAAAGGCCCCAGGGGTCCCCAGGGCTAGCCTCCCTCCAAGCACCATGCCCTGCTGGGCTCAGTCATGCCTTTGGGCTTTTGGCTTTCAGCACTCATCAGGCACTGCACTGCTGATTTAGAGAAGCAGTTTCACTGTGGCAGGAAGCTCATCCTTCCCCAGACCTGAGCTGGGGCCTGACTGGGGAAGAAAATGAAAGACATAACCAGATGTTGTACACTTTCTCTTTGCATAATAATTTCATAGCAAGATCTTTAAAAGACATGCCTGTAATCTTGAGATGTCCCCATCTTTTTCTAGAAAGCACTGTGCTGGCTAGAATTACATCAACTTGAGACAAGCTATACTCATCTGAGAGAAGAGAACCTCAATTGAGAAAATGCAACCATAAGATGAGGCTGTGGGCAAGCCTGTAGGGCATTTTCTTAGTTGTTGAATGGGGAGGGTCCAGCCCATTGTGGGTGGGGCCATCATTGAGCTGCTGGTCCTGGGTTCACTAAGAAAGCAGGCTGAGAAAGCCAAGTAGCTATAATCCCTCCACCAGCTCCTGCCTCCAGGTTCCTGCCCTGTGTTGAGTTCGTGTCCTAACTTCCTTCAATGATGGACAGTGGTGTGAGCCAGATAAACCCTTTTCCCCAATTCGCCTTTGGTCCTGGTGTTTCGTCACAGCACAAGTGACCCTACCTAAGGCAAGCACTCTCGGTGTTCTCATCTCCATCCTGCAGTGTGGGGTACCTAGTCACCAAGCACAAAGGCGGCTGCTGCTTGCTACCTCACAGCCCCTTCTGCTTGCCCTTCAACCCGCTGCTGCTCTCTCCTGCACCACACACGCCTGAATGCTCCGTGCAGGCTGTTCTCAAACTCCTGATGCCATGCCCCGCTCGGCTCTTCTAACATCTCATCTGGCACTCCTGGGAAGTCTCCTCTGCTGTTCCTGACCTTCGGGGCCTCTACCTTCTGGCCACTGTGTCCATGACCCCATCTTCCACCTGGTCTCAGGTTCTTGCCTGTGTCTCTGGCTCTCTCATGAGCCAGGTCCCTGTTTCTCACTAGTCTGCTACTCCCATGATGTCAACCAAGCCTGCTGTGGTCTGTCTGTCTCTGTGTGTCTGTCTCTCCCTTCCTTCCTTCCTTCTTTCCTTCCTTCCCTTGCTTTCTTTTTTGTTTTTTCAGACTGTGAAACAGTCCTGGCTGTCCTGGAACTCACTCTGTAGACCAGGCTGGTCTCGAACTCACAGAGATCAACCTGCCTTTGCCTTCCAGGTGCTGAGATTAAAGATGTGCACCACCACCACCCAGCCAGTGGTATTTCTTGAATGGACTTGCTGGAACGATCAGTGGGTAAGGGAGCGAAGTGCCCAGCAGCCAGTTTTGTGGGAAGAACAGGAGATAGACAGGACTCCTTCCCATGGCTTCTTGAAGGCATTGCTATGCCTAGGGCTTGAGGGGTGAGGCCTCACATAGGCACTTTGTGCTCTATAACAATGCCCTGGACCAACAGCAAACACGAAACAATGGCTGCAACTTTATGCTTGCTCCCCCAGCACCACAGGCAAATACAGATGTGATTAGACATGACTGTAAGTATTCTTCCCAGCATGGCTCGAGATCAATGGTTCTCAGATGTGGGTCTCAACCCCTTTTGGGGGGAGTCAAATAACCCTTCCATGGGAGCTGCCTAAGGCCATCGGGAAACACAAATATTTACATTACAATTAATAACTGGCAAATTACAGTTATAAAGCAGAAATGAAAATAATTTTACGGTTGGAGGTTTCTACAGCATGAGGCACTGCATTAAAGGGCCACAGCATTAGAAACATTGAGAACCACTGTTCTAGACCCTGGCATCTATACACGGTATTGGATTGAGGAAGCCAAACTTCAAAGCTAGTCTTTCTGTCTGACAGCTGTGTGGCTGAGTTGAGCACAGGCTCTCCTAACCTGTGACATGAAAACCTGCCCATGGTTATGAAGACCAGCCCTCGGAGGACCCTGAGGAGGTCCCAGGAAACACTGGGCCAATCACCACTCTGCTCTTTGCTCAGCCCTCCCAGTCTTTACCCCAGGTCTAAGATTTGAAAGCATGTGAGGGATTCCAAGTCAGAAAATTCTGACCCGAGGCTGCTGCCACTTTCAAACTGGCCTGTGACCTGGCTGACTTTCACAGTGCCACCTGCCCGAACACAGCAAGGTGAAATGGCTCCAAAAATAAACCGAAAGCCCTCATCCCCAAAGCTGGGGGTTCACAATTGGCCTTTAGTGGCTTCTAGTCTTAGTTTGTTTTCAGTAACACAGTCCCTCCACTATCAGGAATGTGGCCTTCCCTCAGCCAAGCCCCTTGATATTGTGCTACAGAATTGTAAACTGTATCTCAAAGTCATGTTTTGCTCCGCCCACATGTCGGCACATTTCAAAGGCTCTTCACATCTCTCCCAGTACTCCACATGCTGAGTTTTAGTGGATACTATCTGCCAAGGTCTTAAAACAAATGGGCACAGCAACCTGTCCACTGTGCTCTGCTCCAGTGTTTCACCACGATGAACTAGTGCCAGCCTTAGCCCCGCCCCCCCTACAAACCCAAACTACAGACCAGACTAGCAAAAGCTACCTTTGATAAAAAAAACATGGACATCTCATCTGTTTTGAGCCCTTCTGCCATTTCTAGCCCCCAAGGACTCCCGCAGAGCCTCCCTCTCCCACGCTGGTGGGATGCTGGCAGCCTGGCAGGGTGACCCTCAGAACGCTGACCTGAAGTCCTACAGCTGAACATTGTTGTGGGAACAGCAGGGTCAGCTGATGCACACATCGTGAGATAATACTGTGATAATCAAGACATCCAAACGGAGAAACACATTTTCAGAGTGCCAGGTGCAGTGACCGGGAAAGGCAGACGGGCTATGGTTTCAGTGGCAGGACACACATGCATACAGTGCCCCACAAGCACCAGACAGACCATGATACAACATTTGTGCCGGGCAATGCGATTGTGGGCACATTGCTTTCTCGCCCAATTCCTTATGTGTTGCTGTTTAAATAACAAGTTATTATGAGATGATATCCTCAGCTGAAATCCCAGCATGTGTCTGAGACAAGCTTCTGGGAGCCGGGGGCTGAGTCTGGGCAGCTGCCTGTGGCTTTGCCCCAAGCCACACACATGTGTTTGGCTGACTGAGGCCCCTGTCTGCTGAGCCTGAGGTCTGGGAGATTTCGTTCACTCACGTCTGAATGCTGCCCAGGGGAAACACAAACCCCAGCATAGGCTGTCTTCCTTGACATCACTGATCTCGGGTTTCCCTGTTCTGAGGTGACCCCAGGATCACTGTAACCAGAAACCCCATGGGTTAAGCTGGGTTGGTGGTGAGGGAGGGGGCAGGGCTCACCTTCACTGTCCCTTCCCACTGAGGCAGTTGGCTGAGCTACAGCCAGGAGTGGGGCGGTTCCCCCACCTTACCGATGAATACTCACCCAAGTTATTGTGTGCTGGGGACATCGGATTCGGGGATAGGTTTGGAGAGCCTGCAAAGAGACACCGTTGTAAGATGGAGTATTCTACAACCAAGACAGGATCACTCACCTTGCCGTCAGGAAGCCCTGGGCCAAGGCTCGAGTCCCAGGAGCAGCCCAGCCTCGGACTGACCTCATACACTCCCAATACACATCTAGACCTGTCGTCCTATCTGTGGAGTGCACAGATTGAGTAGCTAGCCTTAGAGGGCCGAGACAGCACCTTATGAGCCTAAGCAAGGCTTCACACAGGCCATGGTGGGCTCAGCTAGGCTAGCTCACACACCTGCCCTCAGGAAAGGCTAACTACTCCTGAGGCAATGAAAGGCTAAGGAGAGCCAGCCCTGTGCTGTGGAAGGGCGGCCTCCCTCCCTCTCTCCCCAACTCACAGTCTATCTCTAAGGTACCTAGAATCACCTCAGGAAACTCACAGATCTGCCTCAGAAATCCTGCAACTCAGCAACTGACTTGATAACTTGAGACAGTGCATCGAGAAGTCTAATTCTACCTAATTCGTACTCTGATCTTCTCTCTACCCCTGGCTACACACACACACACACACACACACACACACACACACACACACACACACACACACACACCACACACAGGCTGCCTTTCCATGGGGCCCATCCTATCATCCTTTGTTCCCTGTGCTTTGGAGTTCAGTTATTTATTTATGAATGTCTTACAGCCTGGTCCCGCCCCCTGACATCCACCAGACCTTGAGGCTGAGCCCTGAAGCTGCCTTGAGCTGTCCCTGGGCCTCTTCTATTTCACCCCAACACAGCTCTGAACTATGAGAGGGTGAAGAACAGGTCACAGGCTTTCTCTTCCCCTGTGGCAGCACCTGACCCAGTGGAGATAAGCAGCACTCCTGGAGGCCATAAGGGGGCATGGACAGCTTGTTACATATCAGCCATGACTTTGGCTGTGGTTTTGGTAAAAATATACTACATTACTGGGCCTTAATTTTTCTCCTGGTATCAAATAGAGAATAATCACCTATTGACCTATATAAATCAAGTAAGATGGATACATTTTTGAAAAAAAAAATCAGTGTTGGGATTGGCATACAGAAAACCTTCAATAGTTGTTTCCTGTTTTATGGTAGCTGAAATCATGAAGGTCGAAGGTATTCTGAAAGGGTACATGTACTGCCAGGAAAGACCTGAGGGTGACTTGGGTGACCCCCCATACCAGAGACACCTCCACACCTCACCTCATAGAGAAGGCAAGTTCACTAGCAACTGGAGTAGGAGCCAAATGGGCTACTTTGAGGAAAACCAAAGAAGAAAGAGAGACCATCACCCATCCATGCCTAGGCTGGCTGGGAACACAAACCCTGGCCCCGCAGAGTTCTGCAGGGAGAGAGAGAGATACAGGAGGGGGGGGGGGTGCTGTAAACAGGACAGAAAGGAAAGGAAGGACACAAACAGACTGGAGCCAGTGAAAGCATAATTAGTCCTTCCCACATACTCTGGTTTGTTTATAACAGTCATTCTACAGGGGGTGGGGGACGGGACACGACACTGATGGGCCGCTCTGCAGCTGGAGGGAGGCTGCCTAGCTGGCTCACTTCCCATGCCAGCACTCCGTAGCTGCAAGTTTGCAGTGGCCACTTGGCACTGAGTGCAGGAAGGTCTTCCGCGCATTCCAGCTGGGTCCATGCTGCCAGCCACATGCCTGGATGGGTGTGTTTTGGGGGTGTGCTCGACCTAAAAGCACAACATCCCTGTGACTAGGCTTCTCCCCCACATGTGATCCTATTTCACCCTTGTGTGAATTGTGTGACGTCTTGTGGTCTGTGCGTGAGGCAGCCCGCCATCGTGGAAGGGAACATCTGCTGGGCCCCTTCCTCCCTCCTCACCCACTACACAATGCAGAACAGGTCCTGTGTGGCAGCTGGGGCTCTATTCAGGAAGCTGCTGGTTTGGAACCAATTTGGTCCCATAACATATGACACAAGAAACATCTGGGAACAGAGCAGGAGAAAACTAGGGCCAGTCCCTCCCAGCAGGGGCACGCTGATCACATTTGGCCACTATGTTTGGGGTGGGGGGGTGTTTCCGGTGTCTTTGCTGGCCACCAGAGAAGACCGTTCCTCCATGCAGGTTCTCCTCCCTGTTCACCTGCACTGCTTCGGGTGTGGGAGCCACCTTCCACTCTCTGCCAACACCTCACCCAGAGACCTAACACCTCAATATCTGGGACAGGCTACAGTGCCAGTAAAACAACTTTTGTGTCCCTATGGCACAGAGTTTCTTCTATCAGTGATATAGGAGGCACACAAGGGGTACTCTATAGATACCAGGCAGACAGGAAAGCAAGGGGGGCGGGGGGAGACAGGGCTGCAGGGATGCCCACACTACTGACCTGCATCCATGCTGTGGCTCATCTGGTGATCACTAGTTTCTCCATCTTCACTCAGGTAGCCAGGAGGTGGGGTTTCTGGGGATGAGAAGGCAGGCATTTCCATTAAAAGCAATGCAAAGCCTGGCCCTGACACTCATTTCGTTGGTCAATATATCATGCATTCATTCTACCACCGAGTACAGGGTGCCTAGAAGAAGGCTGGGCCTCAAGGGAAGGTATCAGCTCCTGGCCTCCGCCACGCTCAGACCTGTCCAGCGTTGCCTTCTGGCTCCCAACTCTGAAATGCCTTGCTCTAGGACCACAGCTTTGCTGGCTTGTCCCCTTCCTTCAAGGCCAGGTTAAGAAAGGAGGCTTTAGGACATGCCTGCCTTACCATCTCTGCCCCCTGAGGAGCTGTGGCCTTGAGCCTGTCCCTGTACAAATCAGCTGCTCTTGTGACTGTTGTCTCTAGGGGATGTGGCTTAACTCCCCAGTGAGGCTGCCATTCAGTGGTGGCACCCTCACGAGCCATTTCTAGGAATTCTACCTCACCCCCCCCACCCACCCTGCCTTAGCCCTCCAAAGTCTGCCATCTGACAGGGAGCAGACAGCTTACCGCCCCCCAGAGTCCAGCACTACCTGCAAGGATCTGAGAAGCCAGACAGCTGGCCTCGGAGTGCATGCGTCCTGACCCAAGACACGGGCCACAGCTAACCTCAGCCCAGTAAGCCAACCCAGAGAGCAAAAGCCACATCCAAATTAGAACGCTCTAAAAGGAGCACAGCTGGATCACTGCCCCGAAAGCAAAAGTTGCCCTGACTGGCCCTAGTATGGCCAAGCACAGCTTCCCTGGATGCCCAGAGAGCCTGGCAGTGATTCACACATTATTTGCATGTAAATGAGGGGCTTCTAGAGGCACTGGCACAGTGACAATGAAACCCATTCTATCTACTGCCTCAGCTCCCGTTCTGCCCAGTAAAGATCAGGATATTTCTCACCCCACGCTCTGCAGCCCCTACCCTTCAGGGACCCTGCCTGTGTGCCAGCCCTACGGGCTGGGAGGGAGGGGCAGAAACACAGTGTTGCTATTTCCGCTTTCAAAATAAATGACGGCACTGAGGCCCTGCAGAAGGGTCACAGGGTCCTCCATGCCAAGAAAAACATCGTTAGGGGCGCTTGGGCCACCAATGGTTCCCGGCTGGGATGTGGTTCAGAATCGGGGCCCGCAAGCCTGCTGCATGCAGCACAACGACATGGAGAAGACGGGGGAACGGCCCCATCCTGCCTCCTGGCTGCCTGTGCGGCCACCCATGCCTACCTGGAATATTGCTTTGGGGCTCAATGCCAGCGGGGAAGTTAGTGTTCTCAGGGATGGAATGGCTGTAGTCATCCAGCGGGGGGAACTCGGCCGGGATCTCGGTATGGCGTGGCACCAACACTGGAGGTAGAACTGCCCCCAAGAGAGACACAACAGAGGTGGGTCAGTGCCAGGGCACCGAAGTCGCAGTCCCCAAGGGCACCTTGGACCCTCCAGAGCTAGAGCGATGGGGAGGCCAAGGCTGTGCACACATACCTGGTGTCTCTACTCTCTGATAGTGGTAGGGATTGACGCACACTTCGTCCTTCTTCATGTTGAAGGCGAACTCACACAGCTCCATGGCCCGTAACTCATGGTGACTGTGCAGGTCGGGCCAGCGCCACAGGCGGCAGTAGATAACATGGGGAAGCCCCTTCCGATGGGACACTTGCAGCCGGCCATCCAGTGACCTGCCATGGCAAAGAAGGGACAGAAGATGTCAGTGAAGTAGGTTTGGACTGTTGTCTCCCATGTCTGACCCCCAGTAGCTCCTGGGGAGTTCAGGTTTGCTGGCAGACACTCTCAAGTTCATTCCTCCCCCAGACACCGGCGACCAGGAAATCAGAGTACCACTGTCCTGTTCTTACTGGACATGGTCCCAGCTCCCAAGAAGCAAGGAGGCTCTCCAAGGAAGGCCAAGGCTTCCCAGACTGGAAGAAAGGCCTTGCATCCAATAGACCCCAAGCTTCTCACAGCAGCAGCTCTCAAGGAAAGGGACCTGCTTGAAATACGCTTAAACAGGTACACATGACACCAATCTTGCCCCTGTAGAGGCGACCACTGGACAGGGTGGAGGCTAAGTACAAGACTACAAGAAGAATCTAGCTAGCAGGCAGAGCTGATGTGATGGGGAGTCTGGCTTTTCTCTAAGAGCAGCAAACGGCCTCTGAGATGTTTGCATGGGCTGTGTTCATGCACAGGAGTGAAAAGGTCAAGGGTTGTGATTACTGCATGTGGTCCACAGGTTGGGGGTGGGGTGGCAAGCATAGATCGATGCAGGCAGGACTGCCCCTTCCACAAGAAGCCTTGTCCCAGGAGCCCCCGGTTAGGAACACGATGTTTCTAGTAGCTGGATCAAGCCAGCAGAAAGCTATTGCGAACTGACCTTCTGTCCCTAGGGCACCTATGGGTCTGAATCCAACAGATTATATGAGTGCTTTATAAGAGAGGCGTTGGCCAGATGTGCCAACCAGAGCCAAAGAGGGTCCAACCAATCATCAATCCGCTGGCCTAGAATGGGGAGGGACAGAGGTCAGCACTGGGCTTGGTCACAGGGACTGACTGAGAGCTGCTGACTAAGGGCATGTAGAAGGATGTAATTACCTCCCTCCCATGAGGCCCAGACCAAGGAGCCCCTACAGCTGAAAACAGTAATTACTGAGCCGAACAAGAGAGGACAGCCTGAGACTAGTCCTGGAGGCACAGGAAGTCAGGCAGATGTGCAGTCACAGGACCTGGAGATGTGGTTCATGCTCCTGACTAGGCAGCCCTGGGTACTAGGACCCTCAACTGTTGCATCTGTAAAATGGGGACAGTCTCCCCGTTGCCTGATCTCTACTAGAAACCACTTTACAGAATGCCAACCCCTGGTGGGCATTCCTCTCAGTGTCTCTGAAGACCGCCATCTCTCCAAGCCAGCCCTAGGCAAGGGGGCCGAGCCGTGAATAAGAGAGAAAGGATGAGTGGGAAGTGGGGACAATTCTTCAGCTCTCCTCACTTTCTTTCAAAGCTAGTGAATCTCACAAAGGTAAGGGAAATGGCCACATTGGCTCTTCAGGGTATGACAGAAGCCTTACACAAGGCTGGCTGGATGCTGAGGTCACCTCTCTGGTGGGAAAGGGGGGAACAGGAGAGGTGGCTACAGCAGGGTCATGCCAGGTGAGGAATAATGGGGTGGAGAGACCCACCTGGATGGTGGGGGGGGGGGTCATCTTGCTTTAAAAGTAACAGAGAGAGCTGGGAAGATAGCCAGTCAGCAAAGCACCTGTGGCACAGGCATAAGAATGAGTTCAGTCCCCAGAGCTCTCATGAAAAAGGTGGATATGGCAATGTACTGAGGAGGCAGAAACACTCAGATCCCTAGAGCTTGGTGACAAGTCCTGCCTCCTCTACTAGGTGAGGCACAGGCCAGTAAGATCCTATCTCAAAAAATGCAAACGAATTTGTGGACAGCACCTAAGGAACAGCAGCTAAAGTTGTCTTCTGGCCTCCGCAGACATGCATAAGCATGCACATAGGTACTGCACACATCAGACCCACACAGGTACATGTGTACATGCAGAGAAAACAGACCGAGGATTCCAAAAGGCAAGAGTGCTACCCTCAGCAAAGCAATGTGGCAATGTCCTCAAAACTGACCAACATATCAATGGGACCCAACAAAGGCCATGAACAATCACATATACATGTTCCTGTCAATGAATGCTGACTTTCAATGAAGGTCCAAAGACATACCAACTGGGAAAGGTTTATCTTTCAACAAGTGGTGCTGAGCCCACTGGAGATCCACACTAATAAAAGTGAATTTCAACCTACACCTTACACCTGTAGGAATGGAGGATCAAAGTACAAAACTCAAAAACAACAAAAATGTCAAGACAGCTGGGTGGTGGTGGCACACGCCTTTAATCCCAGCACTAAGGAGGCAGAGGCAGGCAGAGCTCTGTGAGTTCAAGGCCAGCCTGATACACAGAGTGAGTCCCAGAACAACTGGAGCTGTTACACAATGAAACTTCCTCTTAAAAAACAAAACAAAACAAACAACAAACAGAAACAAAACTGCCAAGACAAAACTTTGGAGGATCTTTGTGACTGAACAATGACTTCTCAGCCACTACACCAAAAGCACAATCCATTAAAAATCAGAGTTGATATATCGATATATTGGAAATCAGGATGAGGCTCCTGATCTGTATAAGACTTAAACAAAAACAACAAGCGACAGTGGCAAAGAATGTATCTCACAGAGGTTTTGTTTCTAGGAATAAGAATGCTAAAACCAACCCAATCTTAAAACAAGTGAATCATTTAAACAGATGATACTTTAAGGTTTTTGTTTTGTTTTGTTTTTCGAGACAGAGTTTCTCTGTGTAGCTTTGGAGCCTATCCTGGATCTCTGTAGACCAGGCTGGCTTTAAAGATCCTCCTGCCTCTGCCTCCTGAGTGCTGGGATTAAAGGCGTGTGTCACCAACACCAAGAGGCTATTTTAAAATTTTAAAGATGACAAAGATGTTCTATTTCATTACTAATTAAATAGTATAGTGTATAGTGGATTAAAGCTATAACTTAATATAGTGGCCTTATATACAAAGGCCGGGCGGTGGTGGTGCATGCCGGGCGGATCTCTGTGAGTTCGAGGCCAGGCTGGACCGACAGCCTACAAAACAATACAGAGAAACCCTGTCTCATAAAAAAACAACAACAACAACCAAAAAAAAAAAAACTATACAAAGACACTGGAGGGATGGCTCAGTAGTTAAGAACACTTGGCATTCTTGTAGAGGACCTGGGTTTGATTCCCAGCACTCACAGAGAGGTTCCAGAGGATCTATTGACTTTTTCTTGGGCCATTGAACCCGCCATGGTACATGAATAGGTCTGCAGGCAAAATACCCATACACATACAATAAAATGTAACTACATACAATGAGATGCCACCATACAACTATCAGAACAGCTGTAATTAAAAGGACCATGTGTGCCACATGTTGGCAATAGTATGGAGCAACAGTGGCTCTGCTGGGGAGTTTCCTTAGAAGTCCAAAATTGAACCTACATATAATGGTTTCTTTTTCAGTTGCTGCTGATCTGACAAAATTATGATGGTCTGTCTCAACTATGAACTTGACAAACAGAATCCCCTGGGAGATGGGTCTCTGTGTATACCTGTGGGGGATTATCCTGATTGGGTTAATTGAGATGGAAGACCAACCCACTATCGGTAGCACCATTCCCTGGGATGAGATCCTGGACTGTTAAAAACATGAGCTAGGTACAATATTCATCTGTCTTCTTCCTGACTGTGTCTGTACTGTGACTAGCTGCCTGGAGTGCCTGCTTCTTTGACTTCCTACTGTTAATGGGCTGCACCCCACTCCTGGTACTAGCTTTTGTCTTAGTTAATTGGTTATAATAAAGTACCCGAATAAAAGCAACCTCGGGAAGAAATAGCATATTCTGGCTTGCAGAGACCTACAACCCATCCTTGCAGAGAAGACACAGTAGCAGGAGCTGGAAGTCAGCTGTTCATATTGCATCTGCACTCAGGATGGGAAATGAACAGGAAGTGGGGCTCGGCTATAATGCCTCAAAGTTTACCTCCAGAGCCTTCCTCCAGTGGGGCCCTGCCTCCTAAAGGTTCTATATCCTTCCAGTGCTATCAAAGCTTGGGACCAAGTGTTCAAACATGTGAACCTACAGGGCACATTTCACATTGAAGCTCTGACACCCACCATAGGATCTACCTGTTCTGCTTCTAAGCATTCCCCAAGAGAAACAAAACAGTATGTCCACAAATGTTCAAGCACCTAAATACTTTGATATGTCCACACAAAGGATGACTGACAATAAAAAAGTGATTGACCTATGGTGCAATGCACGGATTGATGTCAAGAGTGAAAGAAACTGGGTCATTCTTTTCATGAAAATTGTAATTTCTTAGTTTGTATTTTGACACAGCTGTCACTCTAGCTTTAATGATGGCTGATACGATATAGCCCCAAGGTCACATCAAACTTGTACGAGCCTCTTGCCTCAACCTCCTAAGTGCTGGGACTACAAACATGCATCACTGCCATGCCCAGCAAACTGTAGTGTAACTAACTTAAGGTAGTGGCTGCCTGGAAAGGTGAGGCATGCATTCAGGGATGGAAGGGAGGGATTTAGCAAGGGCAAGAGAGACCTTGGTAGAATACAGGTTCTATTTGTTATCTTGACTGTGGTGGTCTCACAGACAGATACATGCTGAAATTTGCCAAACAGCACACTTTAGTACAGTTTATTTGTAAATTAAACCACAATTCCAAGGAGAGGGAGGCAGAGACTTTGGCCTTGGCTAAGCCTGAATTTGCTTTTTCTGTGTTCAGCAACTCTATGAACTTGAGCAAACCACTTAAAACCTCAGCCTTCCTATTTTGTCTGAACTACAAGAGCCATCGCCAGACTCTTGGGAGGCCTGGGTGACACTCCACACAGCCCCGGACACAGTGAGAACACATCAGACAGCAGCAGCTTGCTACAGTAGCACTGAGGCTCTGCACTGCCTCACTCCTATGTCAGAGGCCTGGCTAAGGAAGGAGCCTAGATGCTGAGAATCCATCTAGGCTTGGGTGATCCAGGAGCAAAACAAGAACAACCACAATGGGGCCTCCTGTCTCCTTGGTGCCTGTTCCTTTCACATGGCTGTTCCAG